CAACAACATGGTGGCGGACACCAAGCATCATAGAGTTGCATTGGTGCTGTAGAAATGACTCAAGTCCTGATTACAGACTAGGTGACTTATAGACCACCTAATACCCAGAGTGGATATTGTAGACTCCATAATCATATACATAATAGTTTCTAAAGACAGTTTGATTTAAATTTCAGAATTAATAGCAGGTGATGATAGGAAAAAAACTGTTCTTGCTGGGATCATAGAGCCAAATCTTTGTTGGAAAGTGTGTTTAGTGTCTATTCTCAACTGAAGTTAGTCTACTTTAGTTTAGTGTGTTTGAAAGAAACCTTGGGGAGCTTTCAGTGTTAGGATGGCCAGGTAACAATATTTCTGTCTGTTTCTTGGAAATCTTCTCCTAAAATAAGGAGAATGAGAAAACAGAAAGCTCCATTTGGCAAAATTAGAGACGTTTTGCCATCCCCAAACCCAAAACCAAATGCACTACTGTGGAGCTGATTCCAATTCATAGCAACACTATAAACTAGAGGAAATCTGTCTCAGAGGGTTTCCCAGGCTGTCATGTATCTGGAAGCACACCACCATCTTTGCCCTGTAAATTGGCTGGTGGGTTGGAACTACCGACTCTTGGGGCTAGCAATCAAACCCTTAATCAGTGCGCCATCCCCAGTCACAGCAAATGGAATGGTACAGTGGTAACTGACATCACAGAACAGATAACTGAGCGCTTGTAGAGGGGGCACTCGCTGTTAGAAGCAAGCCAACTTGTTCCACAAACCCCAGAAAACCCCAGGAACTGGAAGCATCAGGTACCTCAGAAGACAGGACCAGTGCATGAGACTATGTCAGATTACTTAAAACTCAGAGACATTGGAAGTTGAGGAGAGCAGAGACAAGGCACCTGGCTGAGAACAGGGTATTGAGTAAAAAGTTTGCGAACTGATAGGTACCCATTTCCCCAGCACCAAGGAGATGGAAATTGGAGAATGCATCCTGAGATACCAGATGGGTCCTAGAGAAAGGATTCCCCAATACAGTACAAGCTGATTTGTCAGTTGATTGCTCTGTGGACCTTGGTACCCTCTACTACCTCCATTGGGGGCCACCTGCCACAGAGGGTTAACCTCCTCTGTGGCCCCATCCTCTCGGTAGATGTACAGGTAGCTGGCACCTGTTACGGGTTCCTGCTCCTATGAGTCCTGAGACCCTGTGGCTCAAAATTGTTGTGGCTTGGGAAGGCAGGAAAGAAAGAGGCATTTGAAAAGATTGTTGTTGTTGTTGTTGTTAAAGTGCTTTTGAGTCAGTTCCTACTCCAGGTGGTATAGGGTTTCCAAGAAGTGGCTAGTGGGTTTGAACTGCTGACCTTGTGGTTAGCAGTCCAGGGCTTATCCTTCGGTTTCATTCCAGGACCCAATCTGAAAAGATTCATGGAAGAAATACCTAAAAGTGTGTTGTGGTTGTGAAGTGCTGTCGAGTCATTTCCTACTCGTAGCCACCCTGTATAGGATTTCCAGGGAGCCGCTGGTATGTTTGAACTGCCGACCTTGTGGTTCATAGTCCAGTGCTGATCCTACAGTGCCACACCAGGAAGTGAGCTGAACAGGACCTGAAGCCTCCATCTCTAGGGCCGTGTGTGAGACCAGGCTCCCAACTCCAGCCCTGGCAGGAATCCCCAGCCTTGGTAACTTCAGGTCCAGAGGCTTACAACTGCTAACTGAAAGGTCAGCAGTTCAAACCCACCAGCTGCCCCTCAGGAGAGAGATGGGACACTCTGCTTCCATAAAAATGACAGCCTTGGATATCTCCTGGAACAGTTAGTTCTACTCCGTTCTGTAGGATTGCTGTGAGTCAGAATCAACTTGACAGCTCTGGGCAAGGATTGGTTCGGGAATTGTGACAGATAGCGTAAGACATGTGAGAGTCGGACAGTGAATAAGGAAGTCCATAGAAGAATCGATGCATTTAAACGGTGGTGTTGGCAAAGAATATTGGAAATGCTTGCATTGCCAGAAGTAATACAGCCTGAACACTCCTTAGAAGAGAGGATACAAATTTTCATCTCTTGTACTTTGGACGTTAATCAGGAAGGATCATGTTTGGTAAGGTCAGTGAAAAAAGGAAGACCCCCAAAAGACAGACTGACCCAGTGTCCGCAACAATGGGCTCAAACATCACAATTGGGAGAACAGTGCAGGATCCGACAGTGCTTTCTTCTGTTGTACATGGGGTCACAATGAATCGGAAACCGACTTGACAGCACCGAACAACAGCTATGAAAGACATTAGTAATAGAAGACAGACAGGTTGAAGTAAATTCTGTACTATCTTCATGTTTTTGGTTAAAAAAAAAAAAAAAGGCTTATAAAAATGTGTCTCTGTGCATCCTTTCATGGGAAGCTGCTACTGGACATTCTCCATCATGAGAGAGTAGGACAAGATCTAGAAACCAGGGCCTTACCACAGGAGAGTGGCCAAGGGAATGTTCAGGTGACTTTCCAGAACTATAACTACATGGCATGTTGGCAGAGTAATCCTTCAAAGTTGGAGTAGGATAAAAGCTGGAGGGTTTGGGGAAGATTAAAAAAGAAAGGAACGAATTGATGTAGTTGATTGTGTGGAGGGACTGTTGGAGAAGAAGGTGTGGAGAATTTAAAAGAACCAAGCAAATAGAAGTGCAAAACCACTTTACGCCAAGAAAAGACAAAAAGTAGACCAATAAAGGAAATCGAATTATCCTATTCCATTTGACTCAGTAGTGAAGAATATATTTATGCAATCGTGGTAATGTAACGGAATATTGACAGAACATATTCTTCAAGTGTGAAATATTAGTGAATCAGGAATTTAATGTAAAATTTGTTCCCACCTTCAAAAAACTGCTCAGGAGATGAAAAGTTATAGGTTCTACCCAAAACATTTAAGTCCTCAAGTTAATAATATCTCTTAAAAATAAAAGCGCATTGATAAAAGTTCATGTATTATCTTTGGAAGATGCCAGGGAACCAAATCATTTTTAAACTGGTATATAACTCTTTCATAATCCATGGTACATTTAAGTACCACCTTTTCCTCCTCTGGGATTTCTCGGGAAACTTGTTCCCCCCACTCATCGTCGGGGTATGGACTTGCATAATTTGGTGAAACAGAAGGAAGTTTTTTCAGCACCATATTGCTTGTATTGAAAGGTTATCTGAGGTAGTACATCCTGGAAGAGTAATTGTGTAAAACTTGTCTGTTTGGGCTTCTGTACAGTGAGATAAAGCTTGTAAGGTATTTACTGTTTCCCATGTGTTATTTGGAGTCCTGGTGTGGTCCTGTGGGTTAATGCGCTGAAATGCAAAGTCGGCTTGAACCGCAAGGTTGGTAGTTCAAGCTCACCAGCCACTCCTCAAAAACCCTTTACAGGGTTGCTATGGGTCGGAACTGACTTAACAGCACTTAACAACAACAACAACAGCATAAGGGATAACATATAAAGTAATTGTGTACAATGATCGGTTCTTAATGACTGCATAACTCCGTGAATTTTTGCACGCATACACACACACACACACACACACACTCACAGATAACTGCCCTCCAAATCAAGGTGTAGAATATTTTCTGCACCCCCAAACATTTCTTTTTACACTTTTCTGACTTCTTGCTTTCTACGCCAAAGCAACCAGTATTCTGACTTCTGTCACCATAGATGTGGTGTTATGTCTTTTCTTGAACTTCATAAATGGAATCATAACTGTCATTCAACTTAATGTCTGGGAGATTCATCCATGTTTTATGCATATTGGTGTTGTTGTTAAGTGCTTTTGAGTGGGCCGCTGGTGAGCTTAAACCACCGACCTTGAGGTTTCAAACTGACCTTACAGTCCAGCGCATAAACCCGCAGAGCCAAACCAGGACTCCTTTTTTATGCATATCAGTAGTTATTTATTTTAATTGCTGTGTAGTATTACATTGTATGAATATACTTCAATTTCTGTAGTCTCCTGTAGATGAACATTTTGACACGTTTGGCTACTATGAATAAAGATGCAACAGACATTCTTTTGGTGGGTTTAACGCATTTTTGTTTTTTGGAAATTGCTGGGGTTATAGGGTAGACATATGTTAACACTCTAGATATGTTTGTTGTTAACATTTTTCTGAAGTGATTGTATCAATCTTGTGGCACTGTAGGATAAGCACTGGACTGCTAACTGAAAGGGTGGTGGTTCAAACCCATCAGTTGCTCCTCAGAAACCCTATACAGGGTTGCTATTAGTTAGAACCCACTCATATGGTACTCAACAACAACAACAACCGGCAAGGTATGAGTCTTAATTACTCCACATCCTCACCATTCAGTACTTGGTTTTCCCAACGTTTTATTTTGACAACTGTTGTCAAGTGCTGTCTAGTTAGGTCTGATTCATAGCGACCCTGTGTAAGATTTCTGAGGAACAATTGGTAGGCTTGAACCGCTGACCTTGTTGTTAGCAGTCCAGTGCTTATCCTAAGTGCCACACCAGGACTGCTTATTTTGACAATTGTAATTTATAAAATTTCTCTTTAGTTTTAGCCATTTTGGTGGGTGTGCCTTCTTAAATTTTAGTGACTAAAGCTGCTCAATATTTTGCGCCAAAATATTACCAAATATTATCCTCTTGTGTATAGTTGTCAGTTTCTAACTGTGCTCAGTTCTCCTTTGTAATTCTAAAACTAACTTTACTTTTTTTTCTCTTCTCAGTTGTCACAGGCAGTACTGATGGAATTGGGAAGTCATATGCAGAAGAGGTAGGTGATTTTCAAGATCTTTCTTTTTAGTATTAAAAAATAGAAACAATTATTTAATGATCTCTTACAATAGTTTTTGATATTTTTGCAGTTATCAACACGAATTTAATGTTTTATTGTATGGTAGGTGTTCTACCTTGTCAGAAATACCAGGTTCATTTAATATTTTTAAAACAAATTTGAGGGCAAATTAAGTATAAAGCTTTCTATCTTGCTAGGTTGGAATTGTAAAGAATTTAGTATTATTTTATTTATATTGTATTAAATACAGGTAGCCCTCAGTTTTAAAAGTGATTTGTTTTGAACTATTTTCCAAACGATAGAAATACTATTATTCTACAATGGTTAAGTTTCTAGGGTAGTCCACAGCATAATTTTTACAGAAGGGCTCTGACTGACAGATATTGGCAGACACAGTAAAGGATTCTAGACTTCTAGAATATAATTGTTAAGTGTCGTCAAGTCTTTTTCAGCCTATAGCAACCCTGTATAGTGTTCCTGAGGAGTGGCTGGTGAGCCTGAATTGCCGACCTTGCGATTCAAATTGACTTTGCAGTCCAGCGCATTAACCCGCAGCACTACGCCAGGACTCCATAATTTAATTAGGTGATGGTTTGAAGACCATTATATAAAGCAGAAGTTTGGCAGGACCTTTTAGAGAAGTTTCTATACCTTCCAGTTCTCATGAAGGTACCCCACAGTCTCTGATAGTCCTTGATTGTAATGAGGATCCCACCAGATCCATCCAGACTTTCAGTTGTCATTCCCAAAGAGTAAAAAAAAAAAAAATCCTTTGTTTCTTTGACAACTACCAAAACTACAGAAAAGTTGCCAGAAGACTACAATGACTACCCTTGCACCCTTCCGCTGGATTCATTGATTGCTAACATTTTGCTTCATTGAACTTTCATTACTTAGCTGGAACATTTGTGAGTTAGTTACAGGCTAGCATAACAATTTACCTCTAAGTATCTCAGCATGAAACATCTCAGTACAAGAGCATTCGTCCTTATAACCATAATATAAGAGTCACACCTTGGAGATTTAACTGGGTGCTGCCAATAATTACCGGGCTTAGCTGGTTTGAATCCACTCAGAGGTACCTCAGAAGAAAAGCCTGATGATCTGCTTCTGAAAAGTCAGCCATCCAAACCCCAGTGGAGCAGTTCTACTCAGAATCAACACCACCACAACTGGTTTAGAGCATAACTGTGTAACATACAGCCCACATACACATTTGTCAAGTTGTCGCCAAATGCCCTTTATAGCTTTTTTGTTGTGGTTGTTCCAACATCCACTCAAAGATTATGCATTTGTGTACAGGTTCCCCATCTTTTAGTCTCTTTTAATCTAGTTTAATCTAATTCCCTAGCTTCCCTCCCCTCTTCTATGGCAATGACTATTGCAAAATCCAGACCAGTTTTACAAAAGGTTTTAATTTGTATTACCTAATTGTTTCCTCGTGATTCAATTTAAACATTTTTAGCAGATGCTAAAAAACACAAAATGTCCATTTGCGCCATTGTTATGATGTTGAGATAAGTAATATATTAAGATCTTGTCCACCATAATTCTCCATTATAAAGGTGCTGGTGGTGGTGGTGGTGATTATGTGCCGTGGAGTTGGTTCCAACTCATAGTGACCCTGCATAGGGTTTCTGAGGCTGTACATCTTTACAGGAGCAGAAAGCCTTATCTTTCTCCTGCAGAACCACTGATAGTTACAAACTGCTGACCCTGAGGTTCACAGCCCCTTTATAATTAGTAATAAATCTGTGGGATGTTACTTTCAGACTGCATGAGAAGACTCATTCCTAACAGTCTTTCATCAAAGGGTTTTAACATCCATTGGCAATTCTTGCTTAAATTAGTGTAAGAACTGATGTTTTACTAATGATAGCTTTCCTTCTACATTTATTAGTGTTTGACTATAAATAAGAGCTTATTACTATGCCTTCTCCCAGGTTAATTTTATAAAAATCAAGTGTCATTGTGGACTAATAGTTTCTTTAATTGTTTTACAACATTTAATTTACAGATCAATATTAATCTTCCTTATGTAAAAAATTGTTTTTCTTCCATATTTTCTTTTACTTGCAGCATCACTATTAACTAATGAAAGCTAACTTCAGGACTTAAGACTATTGGCTTACCACTCATATGCTATAGCTCATAGCACGTAGCTTATTGCTTATTTATATACTGTCTAACATGTTGTTTACTGAAGGGTTTTGTGGACATGAGTGTTTTTTTCTCAACTCCTATATTTTTATGCCTCTTAGTGGGAGTCCTGGTATGGTACTGTAGCATAAGTACTAGACTGCAAGGTCGGTTTGAACTGTAAGGTTGGCAGTTCAAACTCAATAGCTGCTTTTCAGAAATTCTGTACAAGGTTGCTATGAGTTGGAACCAACTTGACAGCACTTACCAACACCAGCCGTGGGAAGTGGAGGCCTGGTGTGGTGTGGTAGGATAAACACTGGCCCTCAAACCCATCAGCCGCTCCTTGGAAACTCGATACAGGGTTGCTATGAGTTGGAAATGACTCAATGGCACTTTTAACAACAAGTGGGAAGTGGAGAGTCCTGGTGTGGCATTGTAGGGTGAGCACTGGACTGCTAACCACAAGACTAGCAGTTCAAACTCACCAGCTGCTCTTTGGAAGACTTGTACCGGGTCACTGACTCAGTGCCACATGACAAGACAGCAACAAGTAGGAGTAGGGACCACATTCCCATAAGTCTTCTTTCTCCTCTGTGACATGTATACAGTGCTGCTCACATACATAGAAGAGGCTCTGGGAATTAGTCACTTGGTCTTGATTGTCCATAAAGTATAACTCTTAAATAAACACTTTTCATTGGACTGCATTTTTAAACAATTGCTACCATTTTACTATAGTTTTCTTTGCCCATTCTCTGCTGCTTGATTTTTGTATCCAATCTGAACCAAAAATTTTAAAACTAATTATTAAATTACAGAAGTAATATATATGATTCTGAAAATTCAGACCATGTAAATCCACTGCTGTACAGTCAACTGGGACTCCTAACAACCTATAGGACAGAGTGGAACCACTGCTAGGGGTTTCAAGGCCGTACGTCATTATGGAAGGAGTCTTGGTGTGGTGCCATAGGGTAATCACTGGACCACAAGGTCGGCGGTTGAAACTCAACCAGCCGCTCCTTCAAACCCTATACAGGGTGTCTATGAGTCCGAACCGACTCCATGGCACTTAACGATAATAGCAAATCTTTATCGAAGCAGACTAGCACGTCTTTCTTCCTCAGAGCCACGGATGGGTTCGAACTGGCAACCTTTTTATTAGCAGCCAAGTGCTTTAACCACTGTGCTGCCAGGGCTCCTTTCAATTGCTATGTTGTTGTTGTTAAGTGCCTCTGAGTCTTGTTGAACCTATAGCTGGAGCTTTTAAGAGCAGCTGGTAGAGTCAGTTCTAATCATAGCAGCACTCTGTAGGGTTTCTCACGGAGCAGAAAGCCTCAGCTTTCTCCAGAGGAGCCGCTGACAGGCTCGAACTGCCGACCTCTGCTTCATAGTCTGGTACTTAGCCTACAGAGCCACCCTGCTCCTTCAGATGGTCTCGTGGCTGTTGCTAGGGGCCATTGTGTCGGTTCTGACTCATACTGATACTGTACAGATTTCCAAGGAGTGGCTGGTGGGTTTGAATCATCAATCTGGCAGTTAGCAGTCCGGTGCATACCCTACAGCCACACCAGAACTCCAAATGGTGGTTTTGTTTTTAAGAGCCATTGAGTCGGTTCTGACTTCTATATACCTTGTATTTGGTTTCCAGGGAGTGGCTAGTGGGTTTGAATGCCGACCCTTCAGTTAGCTGTCTAGTGTGTAACCTACTACAGCTTACCAGGCCTCCCCCAATGGTATACAAGTATACAGAATGAAATGTAAAAGTCTCCCTCCTCCTCCAATCCTTTAATATTTAAATGCTATCTTGGTTTAGAAAGATAACTATGGAGAATCCTTTTGTTAAGTGTTCATTTTGGACTGTCCATTCATTACACTCAGGTTTAATTGAGTTTTAATTCAGTTTATCATATAATTAAAGGAGTCTTGGTGGCACTGTAGGATAAGCGCTGGACTGCTAACTGAAAGGTTAATGGTTCAGCCCCACCTGCCTCTCTGCGGGAGAAATATAAGACTTTCTACTTTAGTGAAGATTTACAGCCTTGGAAACCCCTTTACAGTGTTGCTATGTGTCGGGATTGGTGCCATGTTTCATCCTGTAGTTATATTGTCTTAACAATGAGCATATATCTAATTTCTGCTTGTGATTGAACTGTTTGGTGTCTCTTATTGTTTCAGTTAGCAAAGCGTGGAATGAAAGTTGTCCTTATCAGCAGATCACAGGATAAACTGAACCAGGTTTCTAGTGAAATAAGTAAGTTCTCCTATCATCTTTCTCATTTTCTCATGATTATAAACACAATACAAATTGAATGTTTTACAGCACTGACATAGTACACAATATAAAGCACTGACATAGCTTGAAAGTTCACAGTGTTTCTTTTCATGCTGTTAACAGGATGTTTTAAAGATAGAGCATCACTTCTGTAAAATTAACTTAGTCCTATGGTAATTTAATGGAGTCCTGGTGTGCTGTAGGATCAGCACTGGACTGCTAACCATAAGGTCAGCAGTTCAAACCAACCAGCTGCTCCTTGGAAACCCTATATAAGGTCACTACAACTTCACGACACTTAACAACAGCAACATTGTAATGTAAAACTCTTTTAGTGACTCTGTTATTGTCAGTAGTCAAATTCTCTGATCCTTTTATAATTTTCTATTTTCTCTGAACGTCTTGTTTCCTTTTCTGTTGCTTCATTTTTGTATGCTTGAATGTTTTTACTCTTGATTTTATCATCACTAAATGTCTAACAAGGTGCCCTGGTGGCAGTGTTTACACACCCAGCTGCTAACTTGTAAGTTTGTCACTTCCAAACCACTGGAGACTTTGCAGGAGAAAAGACAAGACAGTCTGCTACCTTGGCAATGTATAGGAGCTGTTCTACTCTGTCCTACACGGTCACCCCACGTTGGAGTCAACTCGATGGAAGCAACAGCAACAATTACAGCAAATGTTGAATTATAATGTGGTCAGTACTCTTAACTGACATCTTTTTGTGTGTATCTTGGCTGGATTCTCCAGAGAAGCAAAACCAGTGAAGCCTATATATATAAAGAGTGGTTTATATTCAAGGAGATAGCTCTCACAGCTGTAGAGGTGGTCAGTCCCAAGTCCGTGGGGTAGATGTCAGGCTTCTGACTCTTATAACTGCAGGACTGCTGAACCAGAATGGGCAGGTCTGATGGCAGGCAGGCAGGCAGGTAGGTCCAGCAGGTAAGGAGGTAGGCTACTGAGGACTGTCAGGATTGGCAGGTAAGAGGGCAGACCACTGGCTCTAGTCCAAAGAACTGGAGGTCAGAAGAAGAGCTGGATGCAAGATCTAGACACAGCAAAGAGCAAGCAAGCTTTGCCAGATTGTCTTATGTATTGGAAGCAGGTCACACCCCTAAAGAGACTTCCTTTCAATTGATTGGCTGCTCATAGCCAACCTCCTCGCTGAGTGGATTACATTATATTAGATCTCATCCTGGGGGATAGCTACATCTCAACTGCCGAGTCACTGAGAATCCTGGCCCAGCCCAGTTGACACAGAACCTTAGGTGTAACAGTATGTAACCAACCAGCCAGATAAACTAGTGCTGTCTGCTTCGTTGGTGAAAGATACTGACTGGTTTTCATGTTGACCTTACTCTCTGACCAGTAACCTTCTCAATGTGATTGATTCTTGTGTACTTTTATTCCTACAAGTCCAATTGTTTACTTACTAAGAGACAGTTGTATTTGTTTCCAGACTTGCTTTTATGATGGGAGTATTTGTTATAAATAATTCTGGAAATTCATCAAAACTTAGTGTAAGAAGGAAGGAGGGTTATTTCTAAAAAACCTAAGTTGAATGTTCAGAGAGTGGGGAGGCTGGGGAATGAATGGCTTGTTCTTTGCTGCTTGTCATGTACCTTAAAGGGATAAACGTGTTATGTGTCTGTGTGTAAAAACTGGCTCTAATTAAATCAACTATTAGTCCTAGTGATAGAAGTAAAGATTCATAGTCAGAAAATAGAACCTTTTGATTAAACGGAATGTTGAATTTTGAAATGCCTTGTACTCGTAATGAATGAAACCTGGAAGGTTCTGCCTTGTGACATTTTTATAGCAATTGCTGAAGTCTGGGCAAAGATTGCTTAGCAAGTCAGAAGATGTACCTCAGTGATACTGGAAAATTTGGTTAACTTGTGATAGGAGGTGACATGTAACTGTGGGCAGAAATGTGATTCTGGGAAAAGGCAGCTTCCTGCTGGAATGTTTTCATGAAGCCAGTTGGTCTTTTGGCAGAAGACAGTTTTTTTCTTCCTCATGGAAAACATCATAAAAATGTAAAAAAAAAAAAAAGAAAAAGCTTTTTAATATATATTAAGTGAATCCGTTCTCTTTCTGACCTGTAAGCCCAATCTTTTGTAAGCTATTTTTTCTGGACTTAATTATAAATTTAATGGGTGGTGGTATGCCATAGAGTTGGTTATGACTTATAGTGATCCTGCATAAAGTTTCAGAAACTGTAAATCATTACAGGAGCAGAAAGCCTCATCTTTCTCCCATGGAATGGCTGTTAGTTCGAACTGTTGACCTTGGGGTGAGCAGCCTGACTCATAACCACTACGCTATCAGAACTCCTTGTCATCAAGCTCAAAGCTGCAGAAATACGCAGAAATGTATAGGTCAGGACAAGTTTTCAACTCAAATGTAAACTATCTCTGGGTTTTCATAAGCATAGCTATTCCAGGAGAAGGAAGGACCCAGAGTTGAAGTTGACAAAGACAGACTAACTCTGCGTTCTTTTTTTATGTCTTCAACACTTAGTCATTGAATGCTTACTGTGTACCAGGGTACTGGTAGTGAGGTTACCATAGCAAACAAGATAGGTGTGTGTGATGGGTAGAGTCGTGGAGGAATTGTGTAGGCAGAGTTGCAGGTGATAAATGTACTTCAACACTTCTGTTTCCTTAAGCCTTTGGGTTCCTCTTGTGACATTAAATTGCCAGGAATGCTCTAGCCTCCAAATCGTACGGATGTAGCCTGTCTTGGTGTCCATGCTTCAGCTAACCAAGTCGGCCTTTAGAGACCCTTCCATTGTATGTGCTATTCATTAAATCTGAAATCCCTGATAGGTTCAAATTTTTTTAGTTGTTTATCTACTGCTCTGCATAGATGGTTATGAATCATGCTGCTAATCTCACGGTCAGCAGTTCGAAACTACCAGCTGTTCCATGGGAGAAAGATGAGGCTTTCTGCTCCCATGAAGATTTACAGCCTTGGAAACCCCACACAGAGTCGCTGTCAGTCAGAACCGACTCCAGGGCACAGAACAACAACAACAACTGCTCTGTTAATCTAACACTCTTGGCCCATTCTCACTTGTATTCTCCAGGTTTCTACCAATGCAGATTAGCAAAACTTTGTAATTCTTCTGGTGTGTAAACTATTTCTTTCTGGATCCAACTTTGTGCATATTGTGGCACTGTGGGTTAATACACCAGACGACAAAGTTATTTGAACTGCAAGGTCTACAGTTCAAGCTCACCAGCTGCTCCTTGGAAACTCTATACAGGGTTGGAACCAACTCGACGGCACGTAACAAGAGCAACAACAAGAATACTTCTTAGAAGTGAGGATGGCAAGACTTCATCTTTTTCATTCTTCAGACATGCTGTCAGGGGGGATCAGTCCCTGGAGAAGGACATCCTGATTGTTAACTTGCAGGGTCAGTGAAAAAGAGCAAGACCCCCAATGAAATGATTGACACCGTGGCATCAACATTGGGCTCAAACATAACAACAGTTGTTTGTGAGGACTGTCCAGTGTTTTGTTCTGTTGTGCATGAAGCTGCTCTGAGTTGGCACCGACTTGATGCCACCTAACAACAGCAATAACCGTAGTTCTTGGTAGCTGTACAGGTTGATTGAGGTAAGTTTTAGAGGTAAAGAAAGAGGAATCCTCTTGCAAGAAAACTGTCCTAGCAGTTACAGTGAGGTTACGCCATAATTTTCAAGCCAGGAAAAGTTAAAGGAGAGCAGGCTGTTTTCCCATTTTCACTTGAGTCCACCTAGATTGCCTCCTTCCAACTCTCAGGATCTGAGGATCTTCCTCTGCCTCCTTTAATCTTTACACTCTCACACAGGAGACTTGGCGAGGCTGTAGAATTCAACTTCAAGTCTAGTTCTGCAACTGGCATGGCTAAATCTGATGCTCAGTAAGGTGAACTCTGTGACAATAAGAAATAAAAGTTTCTTTTAAACTGCCATAGAAGTTTTCTAGTACTCTGACTGAAAATGTCAGTTCGCTGTTTAAAGACCTGACTCTCCATTTTCTTTTTCTAAGTGTTCTAGTTTATTCAGCAGAAGCCAAACCATAATGTACTCATCATTTCTCCAAAATCAAATGCAGCAGCCACTTGACCCCTCATGATACTTCTTTAGTAGGTACTTCATAGTTGTTAATTTGATTAATTGTGATTCTACTGCCCCATGGATTGCTAGCAACCTGTTACCCACTGGAAAAGAACTTAACCGTATGCCCAAGCCTAAGGACAATCAAACTAATATCAAAATCCTGTCTTTCCTGTCTTTGAGAGTCTGTTTCTTAGCATCCCACTCCTGGTACCAAGTTCCATGTCAGTCCAAGTGCATTCAGGAAACAGGAGTCACACAATTTAGTTTTGCTGTGCTAACTTGTTCCTTCAAGTACAGCTCTTACACTCACCCAGCAGGCAAAACTCATCCCTCCTCCTTCCTTTCTTGACTGAATGAGAAAAGGACAATGAAGAGACTGCTTGTTAATTGAGGGAAAGTTAGAGAACCTCTTCTGGCTCCTTTCACCTTCAAACTCTCCAGTGTCACAAAATTGGGATTCTTTGCCTTAGAAATAATTCCTTAATGCATAGAACAGCTTACTCATCAAAGTCAGTGTTTAAAAGGATTTTATAAAATTTAGTTGGGAGCAAAATGTTGCACCAACAATTGATGATAAAGTGCTGTGTGAGGCTTACATTACAGTTCTCTGTGAAAATACCTATCATCCACTGAAAGAAGACAAGTTGGAAGTTATCACATATATAATTGGCTTGCTTTATTGTGATTGTTAACCAGGATATTAATCTATTAACTGTTTTTGCTAATTGTGATTTGTCAATCAAAAATTTCCTAGATGATTTTAATTGTTGAACTACTAACTGAGTTTTCACTTGCTTATTGCAAAGGAGACCAGCTTTCCGCACTACTTAATGACGTACAACAAAAGGTGGTGGTGTCCGTCAAGTT